TAATATAATAGATATAAATAAAATGATGAATATTGAAACAATCATTTAAAATCAAAAATTAATAATAAGAAATAAGAATATAATATAAATAATAAAGAATAAAGAAAACGAAGATAATAAAAGAAATAAATAATAAATATAAATCAAATGATAATAATAAAAACAAATAATAAATAAATGATAAATAAATAAGAATAATCAAAAATATATTAATAAAAATTAAAATTAAATCAAATCAAAATAATCAAAACAAGAAATGAAAATAAGAATAAAATGAAAATAAATAAAATAAAAAATTAATAAATAAAGAAATAATAAGAATAAAGAAGAATAATAAGAAAGAAAAGAAATATAAATAATAATAATAATAAATTAAAATAAAATAAGAAATGAAAAATATAATAATAATAATAAATAATAAAAATATGAAAGAATAAAGATAATAATAATATAAAATGATGATATTAAAGAAATTATTAAAATATAAAATAAATATAAAATAAAACAATAAAATATAAAATAAATTCATTTTAATATAAATCATTTAAATAATTAAACAATAAAATTAATTTATAATATTGAAATATTTCATAAATATAATAAAAATGAACAAATAAAAGAATATAGAAAAATAAATAAAAGAATAATAAATAATAAAATAAAATAATCAATATATTAAAAAGAAAAAAGATAATAAATAATACATATAAATAAAAATTATAAAAATAAAAATGAATAAAATAAATTGCATAAATAAAATAATGATAAATAATTTGCATCAATAAATTAAACGCTTTTTTATTGCATATTTCTAATTTCTATAATAAAAAATGCATCATTTATTTCATCATTATTTTCATCATTTATTTTCTCATTTTGAATTATTCTTTTTTATCTTCTTTCATTTTATATTCTCAACATTCTACTTTTATTCTTTTCATCTTCTTCTACTTCTTAATTTCACTTTTTTTTCTTTCATGTCCTTCTTTTTCATCATTTCTCTTCCTTTTTCTCTTATTTCCTTTTTTCATAGCCTACAAAATCAAACAAATAAAAATGAAAATTACTTGTTAAATAAACACAAAATATGAATTAACTTAATTCTGATCATATTAACATACTTTAATTCAATGGTTATATTTCAACATCAGAATAGAGATGTTTTGATTTGTTTTATTCATTAAATGATGATGAATTAAGTTTAAAATCAATACAAAAGAATTTCTACATTTGAAAACAGTATTAGACTTAAATGGTTATATCAACACGGAAACAAAATAAGAAAGAAATAATGAATCTAAATAAAAACCCCAAAAAGAGGGCAAAATATTTTGAATCAATAAAATAATAGTTTTTATTATTTTGTTCTTAAAATAAAAAATAAAAAAGTAAATTAAATACTCATTCTATATTCATTTATATTTGTTTATATTTTATATCATTTTATGGTAAATTGTTCTGAATTATAAATGAAACAAAAAAGACATTTAATTCACCAAAAGTGAACATTTTTATTATTATGTTATTTTATTATTATTTTATTTTTATATATTTATATATTTTATTATTATATTTATTTTTATTCTTATATTATATATCATCATATTATCTCTTTATTATTATATTTATCATATTTTATTAGTTTTATATTCTTATTATTTATATTTTATTTTATATATTAATACACTTCTATTTATATTTAATTTATTATATATTAATATATTTCTTTATCTTATTTTCATTTTGATTATATTTTTATATTTTATATCTATTTTCTCTTTATATTTATTATTATTTATATTATATTGATTTTATTTATCTTTTTATTTATATATTTTATTTATTATTATATCATTTCTTTTCTCTTATTATTTCTTTATCATTTATTATTATTTATTTATTTTTTATATCTTCTATCTATATCATATGAAATTATTATTTAATATTTATTACATATTACATACTAATCATATAACATTTATAACTGATTAATAATAAACATTGATAATAAATAATACATATAAATAAAAATCATAAAAATAAAAAAGAATAAAATAAAATATATCAATAAAATAAAGTTAAATAATTTGCATCAATAAATTTAACAGTTTTTATTTCATATTTCTAATTTCTATAATAAAAAAATACATCCATTATTTCATCATTCTTTTCATCATTTATTTTCTCATTTTGAATTATTCTTTTTTATCTTCTTTCATTTTACATTCTCAACATTCTACTTTTATTCTTTCATCATCTTCTACTTCCTAATTTCACTTTTTCTTTCATACATTCTTTCTCTTCCTTTTCTCTCTTTTCATTTTTTAGTTGAATAAAATGAAGAAAGATATAATAAAAATAAAAATAGAAATGAAAACATATTCATTCAGTTCATACTAATTAATAAGAATCATGAAAAAGAAAAGAAGATTAAATGAAAAATTATTTAAGTTACTGATTATTGTCTAAACATAACTTTAAACAAACAATTCATTTTTGAATTATTTATGCGGTGTTTGATGTTATTATTTAAACAAACTTTCATTTATCTTTGAAATATGAAATGTAGAAAATCAAATAGAAAATATTCAAAAGGAATGAATTAAAAAGTGTTAGCAACAATCCCAACTATAGCCAACTCGAGTAAAGTTGCATGTTTTAAGGTCTTCCAAACTAATAAAGAAATTAGCAAAACCAGCATCTCCCCACATTATATATTCTAAATCATTTCCACAAATACTTCCTATTTGAAGAAGAGTCTCAGTAAGGTCTTGATATTCATACATTCGAGGATCTTCTTGTGCAAATTTAGAATATCCACCAATATGAATGTCGTCTTCAACATGTAGGGATTCATAAAGATAATTCTTCAAATCACTTTTTTCTGGTTCATCTATTTCATATTTCATTGCATATTTCTCAGCAATATTATCAAATTGATAACAGTTAGTTGGAATTCCCATTTCTCTATGTTCTGGAATTAATAAACAAGGTGTTTGTATTGGATCACATTCTTCATGTTCAATAATTGGTGCTTCTTGTAATTTGGATTCATCTTTTTCAATTGTTTCAAAATAAACAACTCTAAACTTTTCTTGATTTGTTATATCTTCAGAATTAACTCCATAGTCATATGAATCATCTACCAAAACATAAAATTGTAAAATTCCTTTTGTTGGATAATTTTCTAATGCTTCAAATTCTTCAAAATTGATTTGCATAATAAAAGACAATGGTTTCCCAGTAGTTAAATCTTTTGGATATTCAAATCCTTTTGGTAAATAAGGTGTTCCTCCTAATTTGCAATTGTATCTACTCGCTGGTTTATCACTACATTGAAATCTAACTATTTTCTTTATTGTTGATGACATTATTTCTTTTGCAATTTTCTTAAATTTCTCATTGGATGTCATTGAATTGATTATTGATGATTTATGAGATGAAACTCTTGATCTTTTATATTAATTCTTTTCTATTTCAGATCTTATTCCTCAATTTTCTCTTTTTTAGATAAATTAAAAAGTTCCTTTTTATGAATTTTCATTTGAATATATTCTATAAATAAACATTACAATATTCATACATTGTATTGAAACATGAACATAATCACTTCTCATTATAATCAAACACAAATTAGTGAATTGTTTACTGACAAATTGACTTCATCTCATTTCTTATTAATTTCATATTCTTTTAATATTCAATTTTGTTATTGTATTTTCATTTGAAATATTGAGGAATATCATGAATTTAAAATAAACAAAGAACATCACTACAATAAGATGACATCAAATCAACATGAAAACAAAGTAAAAGAAAATGAACAAAAGATAATTATGAAAGAGTGTGAAGATAAAAGAAAAGACCAAGAAGAAAGAAAAACAAAAGAAATAAAGAATGATATTATTAAAATCAAAGAAGAACATAAACCAAATAAAACACATAAAATAATTCAACAAATAGAAGAATGGACAGAGAAAAGTATAGGAAATATACTATTTGATTCAGATATTAATGATTGGAATTAGAATACATCACTATTTAAAGAATAATAGATAAAGAACATATAATAATTATTATTGAAGATACAAATGGAAATAAATTTGGAGGA